TGGAGCCATAAGACCTAGAGACTTGAAATTTGGTAGGAATATTCTTTTTACCGTGTAGAGGTCAGCTAAGAACGAATTTAACGAAATTCCACCCACAAGGGAGGTTGCGGGGGTGTTAACAATGAAAAATTCCCATTTTTAAACTATAGCTCCTATTGACTTCAAATTTGGTAGGAATCTTCTGTAAGAGATGTAAAAATAATTTATTAACGAATTTTACGATATCCCACCCCACGGGGGGTTGCGGGGGTGGGTGTTAACAATGAAAATTTTCAATTTTCAAGCTATAGCTTTGGATCTTACGAAATTTCTCTCTTACAAAGGAGTGCGGGAGTGATAGTTGTCAAAAAATTCATATTCTTCAAATATATTTTCTACAGATATAAAATTTCATAGAATCTCAAGAGAAACAGGTAATTATAGGCATGGCCTCCAAGGTCAACGGATTAAAATATTTTCCTATTTTAATAATTATACTTTTTTTACAACAATCGTCTCTTTGGCAGCGTCAAAAAAGTCATTGTAAGATTTCTAAAATTTAACTTTACATGAAGCTATATAGTCAACGGACTGAGTATTTTGCATACATTTTATTTTTGCTGATCACATAACCGATGAATTGTTCTTATTACGGGATCACGGGAATGTAACAGATTAAAATGAATACATTTTCTAAACACTTGAGATGTGGAAAAGAAATTTGGCTACTCATTTTAAGAGATTTCATAAAATCAAAAATTAAAATCGTAAATCCAAAAATTATTATTTATTTTTGGAGAAAGCCACGGGAATGTTATAGTGATTGCACATTGAAAATTACAATGGATATTCGCTAGAATGATGACATGGATAAAAGGTACAGGCCAATCCGATAGAATTTGGAATCTGTGCAAGTCAAAACAATACTCCAATTGAATTTCAAGTCTAGATCTCAAAATACAATTCTATAAAATGCCCAGCGGAGCGGGCGGGTGACAGCTAGTATATAATATAGAAATATAATACAAATAAATATAATTTTTTTTTCTATTTATAGATTCATTTTAGATATGATTGACCGGCTAAATATAGATAAATTATACAAATAATTTTACGAAATAAAATAATTTGTTGTCAAAAAACAAAAAAAAAAAGTTATTTTTGACTTTTTATTGATTTCGTTTTTTAAATCCCTGTAATTTTTTTTCTATGCATTTTAGCGAAAAAATGAAAGATACTTTTTTCGTAGAAAATTTAACTTCCTACAAGATATCAAAAAGGGAAATTTAAAAAAAAAATTTTTTTTGACGATCTACAATGAAAATACAGAAAAAAGTTTTTTTCCAATGTATTTTAAATGGGAAAGGGGATCCCCCATGCACTGGCTTAATTCTCAAGATATCAAGCTCATCTTTTGGGAGGTTTTTTTTTGTCTAACAAAGAAACTTTTTAGATGTATTTACTCAAAAAAAAAAAAGTTTTTTCATTCTGACTCAGTCTTATATATAGATAAGCCAAATACCACTCTCATCACGAGATCTCCGAAAATATACGCCCGATTGACTCGAAATTTAGAATAGTTACTTCATTCGTGATGTAGACGCTCACTGAGAACGGACTTTACGACATTTCTAGCCAATATGGATTTTTCGTTTACCATCACATATGCTACCCCCTCTTCGCCCTCTCATTCTTCTCCTCCCCTTCCGCGCCCTATAATCTTCCCGCTTCCTTCTCTCTCTTTCTTTTTTTGAGGGGGGGAGGAGAATATCATTTTAACCCTCCAATATAAGAAACCATCAGTGGCACCCATCAATTATACAACTCAACCCCACCCTATCCCCCACAGCCACACACGCTAGTCAAGCGTTTCCATGGTTACCGTTCCCATGGCTACCGTTGCCATGGTTACCGTTGCGATGGTTACCGTTACCATAATAACTGTCAAAATAGATAAATTGTAATTAAAAATTCGGCTTTCAACTAAATTCAGAGGAATGATATCTATAAAAGTAGAAAGTTACTAAATACTAATATTCTATGCAATGTTAGGCAAACACATTTTGATTTCAAATTTTATCAATTGATTTTTGGGACAGTAGAAATTTGTAATCATACTTTTTTTTAATAAAGAATAGCTAAATCATTAATAACTGAAATAGCTAATATGTATTGTAATGATTATAAAGGATTAACGCCATTATATCATAACACAGCTAAATATAACATAAATTTATTAAGTTGATACTGTTAAATGATTGTACTGATTTTAATGATTAAAATTAAAGTGGTAAATTTTGTCTAATGTATCTTCTCTAAAATTTCACAACGATATCGTTAAATTATTATAAAAAAACGGTCGATTTAAGTTAATTCTTAACAAAATGAATAATAATAAATATATTTTTTAATACCACTTAATTTGTGACGAATTTCTTAATAAGAAAGATTAAAAATATTTATTTTTTTATTTATAAGCAAAAATAAATTTATCCAGTAACTTTATATTATATATGGGTGATTTTCTGTAAGGATGTTTTTTGCTGTCCCAGGCATTTTTTTATTAGAAAAATTGTTATTTTTTTACTAAAAAAAATTTACTACGAAAGTAAAAAAACATTTCTATTTGGAGCATTGAAAACTAAAATGGAATAAATTTTAGTTTTTTTGCTATAAATCCGTAAACCACCGAAATGTCAGTCCCCTGGGCTGTCCCAGTCCCAAAATTAAAACTTTAAGATTAAATTTTAAGCTATTCGTCAATAATATATAATTTGTTCCATAATGTTTATAAACTTAATTAGTTAACTAACAACCTTCTTCAATAAAAAGTACTAAAAGTTAATTTGTTTCATTAAATTCATTAAACCAAAGTTTGTCCCAGGCATTTGAGATCAGTCCCCTGCCAGAATTTCAAAGCAAAAAAGACCATTCGGCAGTTGAAATGGAAGAAGATTTCATCATAAATAGAAAAAAATAATGGATTTCTAGTAAACCGGCGATTAAAACCTTATTTCACCCTAACTCGTTATTTGTTTACATACTTCTGGTGTACAGTAAAGAAAAAAAAACAAAAAAAACGAGTGCGATAACAAATTTCATAATTGGCATAGCGGAATAGGACATAATTTTGGGACTACACATATGATATGGTACTCAAATTGAAGCTTATTGAAGAGCTTTCAGATGCAATTTACAGAAATTCGATAAATTATCCCATTCAAAAGTTATTGAAGGACGAAAATGGAGAAATGTTAATTTTTATAATTTTGAAAATTTTGAAATCATGGCATTTCTAAATTACTTGACCGATTAAGCTCATCTTCGAACTTGACCTCGGTATCTATCTGTAAAATAAGTATGTTGAGTTTGATAAAGATTCATTGTAAGTTGGCGACGCTATCGTGGTGACAAGCGGCGTTATACCGTATATATATTTTTGAACCATATGTATTTTCTGACTCAGCTCGTCGAGTTATGTCGGAATATAGCAAAATTTTTCAAAAGTTTTTGCATGAGGACTATTGCAATAGTTATATTTCTATGAAATCTACTAAAAAAAAAGTCTAACGTGTTATTTTACCTTTTGTAAGGTTTATTGGGAAACTTAGAACTTTGATACGCCAACTAGTGGTTCAAAGTGTAACTACTCAAGGTAGGCTAATTTTGTGTACATGTGTACATGTGTTGCCTACTTTTGCCTACTTTGAGTAGTTCATTTTTTAACACCAGAGGTCTAATGCCTAAGCGACGCCTATCCTAAGGATCCCAATAAGGATCTAACTAGCCTTAAGTTAATAACCATAGGGCTGTTAGCGCTTTATCGCCATTTTATTTAGTGTCAAAGCACCGTTTGTGCTGGAAATATGTGTCTAGGCCACTTCAAAACTCAGTCCCCTGGCAGCTATTTTTGTTTATAATTTATTTATAAAATTGGATCCATAAGTCTTAATATTATTCTAATTAATGTAAACATTCATCGAGAACTTAAAAAGTTGAATGCATTGAAATAGTTTGCTTGATTTTTCTTAATTTGATGAAAAAAAATCAGTCCCCTGGCAGTCAGTCCCTTGTCATGTTACATGGCAAAAAATACACAAATATCGAAAAAGCAAAAATTAATTCGGCTGTTTATTTATTATAATTAAGCTGATAATTTTGTAGCCCTTGTTAATTTTTTTTCTAATGAAATCAAAAATAATTTGGCCGGACAATTTTGTACAGATTTAAGACGTCCTTACAGAGAATCACACATCTATAAAATTAATATTGTAGAGGTCACACAAATGAAAACTAAAAAAATTATCTCTAATACTTAGAAAATGCTTATCGTGCGACGAAATATTAGCGTCTCGTTCAGACAATGAAAAAGGAGCATTATCTGGCTATGTGGACCCAAATCACTTCTGCAAATTTTATAGATTTTAAAAAACATATTACCGTTTTCTTGGTATTCCAGAATCCGTTTGTTGAACATATCTACGTATTTTGAATTTCTTGCAAAAGCTAATCCGTAACCTGTCATAGCATACCATGAACCAACTGTTAAGAGACGACAATCTTCATCCTGAGCCACTAAATAATCTAATACTGTTCCATCATAAAAAAAGGCATCTAATTGTCTGAAATTGTTATAAAATATTCATAGAATTTTGAAGAATTTTAATTGCAATAAAACAGAGGAAAACTATTAATCTTACCCATGGATGACAGCTTCGATACCTTTTTGAACGCTACTTTTACTAAAATTTTTTATGTATGAATGCATTTCTTTAAAATATTTAGCTATCGTACTTTCTGTATGACTCCATGGAATTGATCCAAATTTAAACATTGGCTTATGAGACCATGGTTTGACGAGACGTGGATCGTCTATTCCGCTGAACTCATGAAATTCTTCTCGAGTAATCATAAAAGCAGCTAAGTTAGCAGTGTAAATAGCAAGAAACACAACTGCAAACATGGCCCACATATGTGTCATAAATCTGTAGAAAAGAATATACATTTGAAATGAGTTTATCAAATATCCTAGCATAAGTTATGGAGAAATAAGCAGTTACTTTATCAAGTCCACAACCCATTAACAGCATTTATTAAAAGGGCAATTATGGAATATTGACATAATAAAGCTGTAGACAATACACATCATTGAAAATAGGGAACTGACTATGAGCATTGGAAAGTTAAAATTCAGTTATTGATGATAGATTGTCTAATATGATCGAGGAAAATTATGTTTACAGTCTTATGTGTTAGTTGTGAAACTATTTTTCTGTCTACTCCTTGTTGTCAATTAGTTTTTTAATTTTTATTTATTCTTGAGTATTTCAGATTAAGACTTTCAAGTTGTTGCTCGAAAGCAACAAAAGACCTTTTTTTGCTCGACGGGAAGAAAGCGTCAAATTTCGGCCCGCTGCGCTAAACGAAATTGCCACTTTCTGCCTTCGTCAAGCAAAAAAATAGCATACACTCCTCGGGAAGTAAATAAGAAAGCCTCAGATCACATGTTTGTTGGCCGAGGCGAAGCCGAGCCATTACATGTGATCTGAGACATTTCTTACTTTACTTCCCTCGGTGTGTAATATACTATACTATATGTATTCTAAGGGATGAAAATTTGAACCGTTCTCAGAATAAATTATCGTAAAGCTTCAATTTTGTTTAGAGATTTAGTACTGATTTATTTGTTAGTTGATTTTATAGAAATCCATTACATTGGTCCTCATGACGGACCTTTTGAAAAATCTTGCTATCCCGGGAAAAAAAGTTTA